GTCGCGGTGAACATATTTTATCATTATAGGTACCTTATACTCGCACCACGCGTATAGTATTTTTGTGTCTACCTTTACTGGCATAGTCGCATTATATATTATGTATAGATAATATGTGTGAAGAAAAAATCATTAACTCGTGGTAGTTACGTCTTTATCTTTGTCGGTCAATCGTTGCAATAAATTTCCGTGCCAGGCGCGAGCAAGCACGCGACGCAGTTTTTCAAAAGCGCACAAGCGTTTTCACGCGCGCCGCGATAATATTAATATTAATTATATAGTAAACCTGCTCGTACTTACACTGCCATTTCTTATCAACAAACTACGTTTAGAACAATGTGTGCGCTGCACGAAAATCCTGCTGCACTCAGAGCAGATTGATCGCATATATAAGTAAAAGCGAATAAAAAACGCATATTTTGATATTATTATCATAATCGCAATAAAATAGTACAAAACTATGAGTTCACAAAAACAGGGTACAATATGTGTAATGTGTATAATAATTCTTCCTATTCCTAAACTAATTCAGCCAATGGCCTCCGCTGCCGAGGCTTATTTCTAACAAAAAAATAAAAAAACAGGTTACAAAGTCTAACTCAATTAGGGATAGGTACCTGCTAATATTAGTCACTACCTGCATATGCATTTATTTTTGAATACTATTTGYGGGACATGAGACTAAACTCTATCGGATCATAAATATTTGAAGTAATACGACTTATAATTTGTTAACTCTTTTATTTTGAGCGTGCACAACAATTATTTCTCTTTTTCTGTCAGTTTACGTGAGCACGTGGTAGCCGGTAGGTATACAAACATATTTGAATAAACCGTTACTGTTGCACTTGCAGTTATCGAGATCGTATTGATATTTCATGTTACAGAAACTATTATTATAATATTATTTATTATTATTATTTTTCACTTTTATGTATAAAATTAATCCATAATTTTTTTTCTCCATAACATYACAATTTCAATAATCTGATGTAAATCTGCTGGCATGGTTTTTTAATGCGGCTTTAATGTTACACTAATTATGATAAACGACTTCAAATTGACCGATTATATTTCTTATAATATATTATATACCTACAGATTGTTCAACAGAGTAACGATCGGAAGAAAATATTAAGTGTTATACATCTGCAATGTCCGATATTATACATAATTATCAACCATGATATGACTTGATCTCGTAAATAATACCATATTATCGAACTTAAAAATATATAGAACTAGGTAATCTTTTTATATGATTTTTATTTTTTATCGATAAGTCGTTGTGAAATCGCTCCCGGGGATGAGAGAGGGAGGAGGAGAAGACAATCGTTACATTAAATACACATTAATAATTATGGCAACACGAATATGCTTTGTACGATAATGATTTACAAAAGACGATGATTTATTTAGATTACAAATTCATGTAAGCTGTATTTTAATTATATTTMTAAATAAAAAATAAAAATATTGAACTTTAGAATCTCATTAAGACTCTTAACCGGTGCTCCGTGGTATATCACAAATTCAGCTCTCCATAACGACCTAAAACTTCCAACAGTTAATGAACTTGCTAAAAGCTACAATAAAAAATTCCATTCCAAATTAACTAATCATTCTAACCCCTTTATCAAAAACATGTCTTCTCTCACACTACCTCTTAATATTCCTCGAAGGT